TTTCAATTAACCTAACTTTTATTTTAACTAAAAATAAAAGTACAAGCTAACACAAAAAGAAACGCATAAAAAGTGAATCTTAAAACATGAATATAAAAGAATTAATCTAAGAAAATAAATATAAAAAAATTTTTAAAAATCAATATAAAAAACTTAAATATAACAAAATTAATCTGAAACAATAAATATAAAAAAATATTAATTCTCAATTGAACCTCGTTATTGTTATATCGATTCTTTTCTCTAAGCAAGCAAGCAAACGAAATAAGTAATACGACAGACACGTACATGTATATATATTGTTTTTTTCTTTCTGCAGCCATTCGTTTTCTATAGTTCATCGGAAAAATTACCGGTGAACCACGGTAAACCGCCGGTTTTGACAATTATCTTGGTTTACCGCTAAAAGTGATCTGATTTTTGTCACATGGACATACATAACAAAACAAATCTTATTCATTTCAAGTATTTCTTTGTCATTATTTTATTCATGAAAAAATCTTTTCTTTTTTCTTTAGATATTTCAAATTATGAGTTCCAGAATTTGCCGATCCTCTTAATCAATCATTAATTTTAGTTATTTTATCTTTAGTGAAAGCTGAACAAGTCTCTCCTCTTTTTAATTCATCTAAATCTTACATTACTATTTTTTATTTTTTTGCAAAGAAAAAGATATCAATCACTTAGATGTATTTTTGATCCTTCTTATTGTTTGCAGATGATGATGCCATTGGTGTTGTGGGAATTGTTGAGTTAGCAGCTATTGATAGGTGACAGTTAGCTCGTTGGCGATCGCGACAATCCCGGCCGTCAGATCGACAGTAAAAGAGGCCGAACTCGTAACCATTAAGACTTCTAAGACACTAATATATTGCGCGAGCTCCATTGATGGAAATACATATGCAGAAGAAGGATCTGTCGTCACTGATTCAACGCACAAAGGACTCTAATAGAAAAAAAATTGTAAATTTGAAAAATAAAAGTCATTTCTCGACTAACTTTTAACTAGCATTCCCCTAAGTGACACATCAGTATAGTAGAATGCAGATCTCAACTCTTTTTTTTTCTTATCTTTCTTGTATACAATAGTGAACCAAAGGAAATGCTTCTTAGCGATTGTGACATTATCACAATTTTTTCGGTCTAGCAGATGAATGATTAGTATAGTCCATGTTATTAATATACTTTAGAAAATATCCAGACATTTTTGGCAGCTTGAGTACCTCACTACAAAAATTATTTTGCTGTCTCTGGGTTCTACATCCATCGTTGAGTTAGATAAGAATCTGTTGAAATTGGGTGTGGGTGTGAGTCTGGATTGATTGAAGACCGACATCCACACCCAAAATGTTTGATGATCGATTAATAAATTTAATATTGTATTCATCAGAAAAATACATATTAGATTCTTTGAATATGAATGAATTAGTTTCTGCATGGAAATCATTAATGGTATACGATCCGGCCTTGTTTACAGCCGAACATGCAGCCTGGTTTTATTAGATAGACAATCGAGTGGTGGTTGCTCAACAACACATGCATGTAGAACTCGAAGAGATGTTTCAACTATTTAACTATTGAGGGGGGGAGGGGAGGAGGGCGAGGAATCCGAATCTGAAGTCGGTTTTTCAAAGCTTTGAGTTTGATTTTTCACTAAAAGATATTTTTTTTAATTTTTTTTGTAAAAAATTGTTTTCGTAAAAAAATATTTTTTTTAATTTTTTTCAAAAATGCCATGAAAGCACACATCCACACCCACAGCATTGGGTGTGGGTACCACGAAACACCAACAAGCGCGACAGCCCTCAGAATAATTGAAAGTTGAAACGAGTTAGCGATTTCTATACTACTGCCGATTTGGTTGCAATCGCAGTTGAAACTAAAAGTACCTATGGATACAGGTTTCCTTTTCCATCTTCCAATAATTTTTTTCTTTATACTGATGAACAAAAATAAATGACAGATAACACATGTTTCATAGATTACGAGAAAACGTCAAGAAAAAATGAAATGACAAACTTTCAAGATTAGACTGTAGGTGAAGAAAGAATCGTCGTACTTTTATGTATTTTCACAGTTTGAGGATCAATCAAACATTCAAACTCATCTTCTTTTTATAGAGATTCTCTATTGCTAAAAGCAGACAAAATTAAGCTCCTATTACACCTACAAAATATCAATTGATGGTAGAAGATAATACTTTCGATATTAAATTTTGAACTCTTTCTCATCACTACTCTATGTTTTTTTCATGGTATTAGCTTCGGAGATTTTCATTCAGCTATTATATTCATTCATTTATTCAATCACAACCTTGACAAAGTTCTATTCATAGAATCCCATTGAAACAAAAATGATGTTTCGAAATCTTTTTGTGCCAAGTACAACAAATACTCACATCTGATTAACAATTTTCATTTCGAGTTTTCGTATTCATGACTATACGGTATATGAATTTTTCTTATTCTGTAAATTTTATTCAAAGCAAAATCGATCGAAATCAACTTGTCTCTCGTTTAAAACAAAAAAGCCTATTTTCATTGAATCGAACTTGGCAAGTTTGAATTATAAATTGACTAAAGTTACATTTCTCTATCACAAGTTCTTTCAAGCTAGTAACATTGCTGTATCATTTAGCGTGGACAATTCTATCGAATATTGGTAACGACATTCTATTATTGGTGATTGCTAGATAAAAAATATCATGGGCATTTTCGCCAACTCTCTTGTTTCTTTTATAATTTTTTGTTATATGTTTGCATGAAACGAAACGAGCAAAATATGACACTTTTTCGAGTCTTTCACCGAACCATGAAAAAAAGCCACCTTGTTTCAATAAGGTTGACATAAAATAGAGTGATGTTGTTTTTTTTGCTCGTAGTGATTGGAAGGTTTGAAGAACGATGAAATTCATTCTACATACCATTTATATAAAATGACAATGTTGCCATGTAAAAGTATTTTTTTCAAACAAACATGCAATGAGAGATGTGCACAGGTAGAAACGTACCTTGACAAAAATATCAGTTAACTGTAAGTGATGTCAGAGAAAAAGAAACAGACAACATTGACTTTACATAATTCTGCTCGATTACATCTTGTTTTTCGTTCTAGAACCAAATTATGGATACCAGAGATATACAATTTGTTTTTTTCAAAAGTTTAGAAACGATTGCTAACCTAGGAAATGAACTTCCCAACGTGGCTCACTGTAGTACGACTGAGCAGGTATGCACAATTATCGAAAATATGCACCAGTATCACAACGTTTTGGTATGCCGATCCGAGGATGTTGAATCATTCAAAGTGCATTTGAATAATAGTGCCCTGCGTAAAATTTTCGTTCATGGCGATTATGACGTGGAGGAAAATTTCAAAGATAAAATTGAAGTCAACAATGATGAACGAAAAATTATGTGTCTTCTCTTCACAGAAGCAATTAAATACTATGACAAACTACGTGATCAGTCTAACCAAACTGGAGACCACGGTCTTGCCAATAGGTTAACTGAAGATATTGATCGATTACTTGAAAACTTAAAAAAGAGACTCGATTAATTTTAAAAAAAATAAAACATTCAATTATTTTTCTTTTTACGCAAAAGTTTAAAGATAATTATTCGAATAAACTAGAGGTCGATTGGACCTTTTTGTAGAGGATGTTTGAATAAGAAAGTTCTTCATCTCTGAGTTTTAAATTGTATACTTTCGAGCTGCCAGGTTCTCATCAGATACTTTTTCAACTATTTGAGTACACCATGTTATCTGACAAATCAAAACAAAAGACTGCACAGATTTTTCACCCAAATATCAATAGAAAAGCCTATTTGAATCAGATCTAGACATACGAGAAACATAAAATATTTCATTTACATAACATTTGAATATATTTTGTAAGATTCTACAATAATCTTTTATCAGTGAGACATTTTTCCAAGCAATATTATCGATTAATAATTGTTGAACTGTACGTTTAATATGAAATATAAAATAAAGAGTAAATTACTGTTGAAATTCTTTTGTTGCACAAAAAGTCGAATTTGCGAATGAACACAGACGAAGTTCTCACTGTACTTGTAAATAAAACCTAAAAAGAAACGGTCCTTTGATGCATGGCACTCATAATGAGTAGTGATTTCTTCATGAATATGGATGTCTTGATAAGTGAAAACAACATAGAGATTGCTAGCGAGACTATACCGTATAACTCTATAATAGTTCCATATCAGCTGAGATCTTGAGAACTGGTCGACTAGCTGCAGTTCCTAGAACCTTACTCGATAAGCAGATAATTACTCATGAATTTGAACTGGCTCACTCAGTTGTATGAATTGTCAATCGACTTTTTTAAACTGAAGCTATTACATTTGTAATACCAGTCCTTTTGATAGAAGCTGAACTGCCCAAAAAAAGTTCGTTCTTATGAACAGAATACAATTTTATTGTTATTGAAAAAAATTCTTAATGCAGAACAATATTTTTTGATACAACTATGGTTCTATTGAAAGAGCACTGCTAAAACTAGGTATGTACAGGATCAAGTTTTTTTACTTCTTATTAAAAAAGCTATCACAATAGATCATTTGACTGTAAATGATTTGTTTCAACATTTCTTTTGAATATTTCATTTGAATTTATAAACTTGAACTGTTATACGTCTAGTATTTAACTAAAGGATTCCTTTAACCTTGAGATTCCATTAATTAGAATAAATATTTTTGATAAACTTATTATTGTTCTTTTTTACTTATTTATTTCTGCTGAATATCTAGAAGACATTTGTCTGTTCTTTTCAATTTATGTAAATCTATAGATTAATTTTATATCCTAATCGAATTAATATTGCACAAGAATATTTTTGCAGTCTAGTTTAATATTGTCAGTCTATCAAAAGGAAAGTTCATCAAAAAGAAAAAAAACAACAGCACACATACAAAGGAAAAAGCATATTTTACAAATGCAACACAAATAACCGGGTTATCAGCGCTAAATTCTTAGTATCAATTTTTTTTCATACAGTAAAAAAACAGTTCAATAATAATTACAGTTAATATAACAAATATATATGGTTGAGTCAATCGATTAGCAGTCGAACATTTGGAAAATAATGGTTCTTTTTCTCCTTCATGTACAAAAAAACATTTATGTGGTCTTTCACGATATGGTGTTGTTTTCAAACGTGTACACCATTCATCAGTCGTAAATTCAACTGGTTTACGTTTTATTATTAATTGTTCACATATTAAAGATGCTTCTTTGGAATGGTTTGCATATATCAACATTAAATTAGTCTTTGGAATTTTCGATATTGAATAACTGAAATAACAAAAAAATAAAAATAAAAACAATAGAAGTAGTAACGACGCTAGAATTCATAGCTAGGGAGGCTGAATATCGCTAAGTCAATGATTCTGGTGTTCGGATCCATGAATTTTCAGTAGATTTCCACTACAGCTAAAAAACTTGGAAAAATGGTAGGAAATTAAAAGCAGGAATCTTCTCTCTCTGTAGTGCCGCCACTAAACATATGTGAAAGATTTTTATTCATACCTGTATAATTCAGGAACAGGTATGGGTGGTACTACTGTTGAACCATTCGTACTATTAGTTTCATTCTCATATAAATCTTCAAAATTTTCTGGATGTTCTTTAATTGAAGGAGTACAACTAACTGTTCCATATATTGTATTATCACGTTCGACTTGTTCCCATGTTATTTTATTATCTTTTGATGGTAACGGTCCTTGCCATCCTTTCCATGTTGATACATATAAATTAAATTCTTCAATACATGATTCAGGAATTTTTTCAATTGTTTCATCATCTTTTGTTGAATTTAATATTTTATGATCTAATATTGGATGACGAAAATCAATATATGTTAAAAGAATATTACTAAGACTTTCTCGTATATAAGTTTTTGGTAAAGGTTTATCAATAGTTAAATTTTGATTGATATTATTAGTTGTTTTCGTTGCATAAGACCATTGAGGAAAATATATTATATTATGAATAAGTATCCTTAAAAAAAGAATTAAAATTGAATAACTAAAATAAAATAAATAATAATTTTTTAATACATTGCTAAATGATTGATAATATTCCAAAACATAATTGAAATTGTTTGAAGAATCTGTAACAAAAATAAATAAATATAGAATTAAAATAAAAATAAAAAGATTTTAATATACATACACCATGAAAATAATGACCAGAACTTTTTTCGAAACGTAATTGACGTCGTAAGCAAACACCTTGAAAATCAACCATTTTTATTCTAAAAAAAAAGAAGTTTTTGATCGATTTAGATGAATTATTTCAAATATATCCCATCCTTCTTCATATTTTGTATACTATATATGTAGAAGATCTGAAAATTTGTATATTCATACTGCACCAAGAATATTGATCAGAAGTGCGAGCTCATCCCGATTGTTTAAATACAATAGGAATTCTAATGAAGGATGTTTATATTTGTTTCAAGCTTTTAGAACTAAAAAAAAGCTTGCCTACTAAACTTTACATTATTTATATTTAAGCATGCAACAGGAGTCCAGTCTACACTCTTCTTTTACTTAAAAGATCAGGTAATTGAATAGAAGATCATTGTCTCTGTATCCTCGGTAGAGCCCATCGGGTTCGAAATTTTTGGATCTTGATCCGATTTATTAAACATATTTCATATCTGGACTGACCGAATCGAACTTTTCAGATCCGGATCGAAACCATACTCTTAATTTCAACAAAACTCTTTAGTTTGAGTCTTCAAATCGCTTAAAAGATGCGACACCTACACATTTCTCAGGCACTCTTGATAATGATCTTATAATAATCTATAGATATAATGTTCAGTGTCTGTCTCTTTCCAGGTGAATGGTCGAATAAGACTATAGAGAGGAAGGCTAGAAAAGAGGCTATAAGATCATGAGTGATATAAGGGTATGAGGCTATAGGACTATTTTCTATGTGCATAATGTCGAGTGTTTGTGTGTCTGTTACCGGATCACAGAGTAAAGATTAGAAGATAAATGTTAAAGGAAAAAGAGCAGCTGTGCAGTATGTACGGGAACTTGTTAGTCAAGTTGTAATTGACTGTTATTTTCAGACCATCAGGATGTATGGCAGATTGTTGTTCGCTATGGTAGTTTAGAACATTTGATTTTTTTTTTGAAATATTCAATTCTGAAATGAATATAGTCTATATAATAACTTACTCTGAGAAAATTTTTTTTGCTATAAGATCTTGCATAATTGCTCCTTCGAATTCACCCAAAAATTTACCAATATCATCCTAAAATTTATCAAGTAAAATTAATTCATAGAAATCTTGTTCTTTTTTCTTTTTATTTTTCTAAACATACTGTTCGATCTTTTCCTTCTTGTTGATTTATAAACATAATATATCCATTTTCATCAATAATATAACATATACCCGTATCGATTTTAGCCTAAAAATATTTTCAGAAAAAAACTTTTTAAAATCAAATATATTTATTTTAATAAATACATACACAAAGATTTGAAAATTGTTTTGAACGAACTGCTTTATATGGTAACATAACTCCAAAAACTCCAAATGGAACATTTTGTGCAATCTTCGATCGATTTAATGTTTTATTCATCCATATAGCTGTTGTTACAATTAAATATCTTTCTGATGTTGCCATTGATGTTGATGATCCTATTTGTCCTTCTATGAAGGAAAAATTAAGTATTCATTTAAACAATAAAGAAAAAAGAAACATAGACTAACGATGGAAAGGTCCGCAACTGATTAATCACTTTTGAATCGAGACTTTGAGTCAGAGATGTTTTACAAAAATATTATCGCGGTAGTATTGTGTCTTCTTGAATCGAGGCGCAGCAGTGACTGATTTCGAGTCGTGATGAATATCTATGCTATGAACATCATGTAGGCACTAATAAATTATGAATACTCGGGCATGGGTTTAGATCCTTCATTATGAGTAATTTCTATCGAGCAAGTAGCCATGACTTATTTTCTGTTTAAAACAATTTTTTTTTTCATAGAAATACTAGTTTCTTGCACTCAAAAATAAGATTGATGAAAAAAAGACCATTTACGACGGAATATCTCTGAGAAGGACCGTTACTCTAAATTCCTGTGAAAAAGCTATTAGTACAATCTCTGTGGGATTAAAATGTGAAACATGATCTAGCTATTGTATCCAAGCCCATGAAAACTGATGTTTTTTTTTGTATATGGCGGCATATTTCTTCATCATTGCTTGTTTTCCAATATAGAACTTCAACAAGCAAATACACCATATATATTCCAAGTAGATGTAACTTCTACATGATCTCAAATAACCAATTGAAGCCATGTGTCACAGTCTGTGGGGAAAGCGAGTTTTAACTTCTATCCTATATACTTCAATACTCCTTTGTGTTCTTAGTTTATTACTGCTGAGATATTGCACCAGTACGGTACTTTTCAAATCAACGCCGTGAATATCACTTTTGATTTGCTCCTATCTTGAAATAAGAACATCGAATCTACCGGTGTATGTGAACGATGTAAACAAAAACACAACTATGCCATTATCGTATCTTAGAATAGAAACAATAAAAAGATCTAAAATTTTCACAATAAACTATTCTCATTAAGGTCTATTTTCATGCAAAGTTTCAAGTCGAAATCGATTCAAGAAATCTTGTTTTGCTGCAATCTTTCAACAGTAATAAGCTGAGAGCCAGGACACTTTCCAAGATATTCATAGCACATTCGACTTTACATAATGCACAAAGTTTCAACTCGAAAAGTGATTCATCAGTTGGGGGAAATTCTCTCTCGTAAATAATACAACAAATAAAAATCTATACCCGTTGTATTTGTATGATTTTCAGCAATCATTTCTATAGATAAAAATCTTTTTGTTAAAAGAAAAGTTGATCGAAATTCTAATACATACGCGAATTTGTTGTTGGTATATTTGATATTCCATAAAAAATTGAATACACATGATAATCACCATGTATATGATCCGCACCATATGTATAAGTTGCATTTATTGTTCGTTCATAATAACTTGCTTCAATTGAATTTGGATTTGCATCACCAAATTGTCTAAAAAAAAATTCAATTGAAAATTTATTTATTTTATTTTTGTTTTTTTACCGTATATGTTCTTCATTAGCTGAATGATATAATCTCCAATAAGCTGTTATACCTGAACGTGTTCCTAAAAATATCCAATGTAAATGATTTTCACGTTGATATTCTTTAAAATCAAAATAAGCTGTTTGATCGAATTGTTTTTGATGTTCATGATCACTTATATTAGTTTTTGTCCAATTTTCAAATTTACTCATTATATATAATTCTTCAATCATCATATGTATTAATTGTCGACTTGCTTTATATGGACCTGAAAGAATTGAAAAATAAAAAAAGAAGTTAAATAAAATAAATAATATATATATATATATACATGAACCAATATGTTTTTTTTCAATTTTTTCTTTTAAATAACCACGAAATGATTCTTCTGTATCACCAATATCATCTTCAGCTGTAGAATTACAATAAATCCAATCAGCAATACGAACATTTCGTTGACGAATAAAACGAAGAGCTAGAAGAGAAAATGCAAATTTTGTAATTAATTCACGAATTCAATCTATACTGATTGTTAAGACAAGCTAAAAGGTCAACATAAATTTTTTATTCAGATGAGGATATTTCGACATTAACAACAACTCTCAGTGTTTGACTCTTGACATTTAAGAGCTCAATGCAGCTTTTATCACTGATGCAAAAATCATATAAAACGATTATAATTCATTTGATTTATGAAGTTATCTTCGAATATCCTTAGCATTTGATTTCTTTACTCCGGCCAAATATTATTTCGTGAAAACTTCATGATTATAGTCATTGATGAGATCTGTGTGAAAACTGTTTCAAATAACGGAAACGTTATTGCACCTTGTGATCGTAGTCTGCTATATTTAATGATATCAATAAAAAGGAAGGATATTAGCGCTTCGAAAAAGCCTGGTTTAAGGTCTAACGAAAGAAAAAAAACAGAGTTCTTATTCTAAAACTGATGTATTAAGATCGATCGACCTCGGGTTAGTACTTGCGATTAGAATTTACCGAGCTTTGTTTGTAGTAAAAATATCAGGCTAAAAGATTCAAATTGAGACATTTTCTACCTGGTTACAGAACTTTTAGTAGCTATTCTTTTTCGTTTATTATACTCATAGATCATCTTTCGATAGGTTTTTATTTTTCGACCAAATTCAGATAACTCTGAATTCATATGAAAGAAAACATATTTTGTCAAGCGGGAAACAACTGATTCCAAGATTCCAAGAATTTCATGAGATTTCAGGGATCCTGTTGCTCGGAATCAATTATTTTCTCCTTGGATTTTTTTCATCATTGTAAGGACCGCAGATGGTATTGTTCGTGTCGATGATAAGTTTTCAAAGGTCCTCTTTAATTCGCCCCTAACAGCCCAATGTTGTCTTCTAAGAATAGGAGAGAGTTAGATGTGGGAGAGGAACGAAAATGGATAGATTTTTTGCGTGATCTTTTTCTCCGTAAGAGTGAAACATAATGTTGTCTGCATCGATTATAGGTTTTCAAGAGTCCTTTTTAATTCGTCCCGAACAACCCAATGTGATTTTCCAACCATAAGGAAGAACAAGACTTGGAGGGGTGGCGAGGATGGATGGATTTTTGGGTCATCATTTTTTCCACTACTGTAAGGATGAAACACAATGTTGTTTGCGTCAATTATAGGTTTTTGAGGGTCCTTGTTAATTCGCCCCGAGTAACCCCCTGTTGTCTTTTAACAATAGGGAAGAACACAAAGGGATTCTACCGGCCGGAATCCAGCTGTTTCCCCCTTGACTCTACTACGTTAACCTATATATGGTTATAAACAGTAGTTTTTCGTTAATGTCATTGTTATTTACTAGATATTCATGTATAAATAAAGCATCCAATACTAGTAGATTTTATTGGTCTAATTATATAAGCAATTTCCGATCTCTATGTCTGTTTTTCAGTGACCTTATTGACTAATTCCTCTGACTGATTCTATGGGATTCCAGGAATTCCAATGACACGAAATCAGCTGTTTTCTCCTTGTATTTTGTACTTTTTGATTAGCAGAATGAATATATAAATTGATTACAAATGTCTTAGATTCATAGTCTATTATCATTTTAATCAATACAAAATCATCATGAAATATTCTATGAGAAACATCCGTAAAAAATAAAATTCTTTCTTTTTTCCTCTATACCAACCAATTTGAACTTTTTCTGTTTCAGGATCAGTTGTTCGAACATGAAATTCACCATAAGGAAAACGTAAAGCAATACCCAAACTAAAAATATATTTAATTTAATACAAATATCCTATTTAAATCATCTATATACCTAAATGGATTTGATTCTTTATCACCTAATGTTGCATAATAATATTTTTGTTCAACTTCTTCTATTCGTCTCTACAAAAAAAAAAATATTGAATTTATTTTATTTTTGTTTTTCCAAAAAACTTTAATTTTAATTTACCATATCATCTAAATGTTTTTTAACTCTTGCTGAACGTCTATTTGCATTTGATAAAACCATATCTTTTCGTATCTATACAAAACTAAAGAATATTAATCATTATTATACATACAATCTTACTTGTTGAATTTTACTTGCTGGTAAAGGCTGTTAAGAAAAACAAACTTAATCATTCAACTAATAAATTGTTACAAAAAAAAAAACAAATAAACTTACATGTACAAATTTCATAAGATTATCTGGAATTTCTACCATATCTAAATCAATTGAATGATAATTTTGTTTACGATATGGACCCAACTAAAAAGAATTATTGATTTTTAAAATATTCTAATTCTATAATATATGATCTAAATAATATAAAATAATAACATACCACAGGTCGTAAATCAGGATGAAACATAAGATAACCATTATGATTAACCATAAATGAATAACCATGAACACCAAGCTAAAAGATATGAATAAGTTTTGAAATTATTTTTCAAAAAACCAATCTACTTACTCGATATTTAGGTGAAAATTCTTGTAAAAGTTTAACTGGAATATCAACACCAACAGCTCCTAGTAGAATTGTCTCATCGCGTGCCTATTAAGATCAAAAATATTATACATTTCAAAATAGAAGGCATATCATAGCAATTTGAATAACTCATGAATACGTACTGGTATTGCAAAATAGTTTTCATTAGCTTGTAGTCAAACTCAGAACACACATCAAACTATAGTAGAAAGTTTTCAAGTGGACCTTTAGGAAAATACTTTAATTTTCAGAGATTCAACATTAAAACATAGATTCAATAGAGAAAATCGTTCTCTGTCAAACTATGCAAATCAGAGATGTCTAATTTGTACTATTCATGAGTTTCAAGAGTTTTCTATGACTAGTTGACTGTAGATTACGCACAGAAGACATCTACAAAGAGATAATTGATAGGGAGCTGCGGCTCCACGTTTTTGTAGACCTGGACGGTTCCCAGCTCGATATTTTTTTCTATCAATACCTAGCACCCTTTGTGTACATGAACAAGTAAAGGATCAAGGTTTTATCTATTTATTCGCTACTCTAAGGAAAAAAAATTCGACGTACAGTTATATCTTCTTGGTGTATTTCTTATCTAAGGAGCGGTGGATCCACACCCGACAAAAAAATAAAACTTTGAATTCAGACAGGTCCGAGTCTGGAAGGACCCGCAGGTCTCTAATAATTGATTCCATTCAATTGCATAGTGATAATTGTTTTCAGTTTCAAAAGAATTTAAAATTATTGTATCTAAGTTTTTTCTAAATATTAGCTGTTAGTCGGTGTATAGCAGGAAAATTTGAAATTCCAGATATCTGAAAATAATAGTTGTATATGGTTTTGAAAATGAAAAAGAACACATGATTACTTCTCTCTAGAACTATTTTATGCCTAATCCAGGGCCGACTAGTCGAAATTATGGGAGCATCTGGAAAATCCTTAATTTTAAAATTTAAAATTTAATATCTAATGTTGAATCTCTAAAAATGATGATATTTTTCTAAAGATCCACTTGAAAGGTTTCTACTATAGTTTGATGTGTCCTAGGATTAATTACAAGCTGACAAAAGCCATTTCACAATATTTATGCACGTTCACGAGTTATTTAATTTGTCGGCTGGCTCCGTAGCATCACTCTATGGGAATATAAAAATTTCCTATAACTATATAGAAAATATATATGACATTGATTTCTACTAGAAGCCATTTTCAGAGATCTGACGAATTCTGTGACAACGCTACAAATTGTAGGCTGTTTTTCTCCTGCATATCGTTCAATGAACTAAATAAAAAAACACGCCTAAATAGCCGAGAACAATGACACAACAAAACATTTTTTTTTGCCGAAGTTATTATAAACAAAATCAAACTGAATAACAATTTAAAAAAACACATGCATTATGTGTTTTTTATAATATAAACTACATGTCATCCGGTTACTATTACAGTATTTGACATATGTCAAAACAGATAATCCGAAATGCATACAAACATAAAAAAGCTGTTAGCACAGTGTCAGTAGGATTAAAACGTAAAATACAATAAAGTTGCTGTCATGTTACGTGAAAGCATTCGTCAAAATTTGTTTCGGCTTATACATTATCGTCTATTTTTAATAACACAACATGTCTATTCTAGTATATTAGAGTAATTGTAGAGGATAAGTATCTTAAATTCGATCATGTTTTATGCTAATTCTGTCATAGAACTTCCGCTTCGTATGTTCTACGAAGATGAAGCAACCATACAAAGATATCTATCATAATCCATGTTGGAGCAAATGTATGTTGTCGTCAAGCTCCATAATAAATCTCTTTCACAATCTGTGATATGTCATTTCTAAGTTATTAGTCACATTTGTAGGAAGAAGAAGAACATAGTAGACAGACCGACGATAGAACTTTTTTTTGCTTGAACTTCTAAGCAGGATGTGCAATGCATTAAACGCACTAAAATCCGGATATTTGCTTTCCATTAAAAGTAATTTGCTTAAAAACGCTGAACATAATTTTATAATTTAGCTTATGCTTTGTGCTGAAGGGTAACGTTCAAGTTTCTCTCAGTGTCCTTGTGATAGTATTAACATTAATGTATAAAATACCTTTTTCTAGAATACGTAATAGTTTTTATCAAAATCTACACTTTTCTCTAATGTCAATTACGAAGCCAGGTTATCGATACATGCCTTCTATATTTTAAAATATCTTTACTTACATGATGCGGTGGATTAAGAACAGGTTGTGCAATAGAAATCATTAAATTAACAGGCTTAAAAAAGAAAATCAATTAATCTTATTGTTTTCTCTGTTTTGTAAATATGTGAAGTTTTTTTTTCTTTGTTTTTACTTTCGATTTATTTTTAAATTCATCCATTGATATTGATAAATCGGTAAATTTAAATGGAAACCATTTATAGGTTTTTATTGGTAATGTTCTTTCAACATCAAGAAAAACACTACTCCAAACAGTAACATGATCATTATACATAGCTATGGGGCGTGCTGTTATTGGAATATAATCTTCAACATTTTCTTGAATATCTTCTAATGTTGATACATGAGCAAAATAACCTAAAGATAATTAATATAAATATTAATATATTTATCATTTTAATTTATATTACCTTTATTAGCACAAGACATCCATCGAATATATTTCGGATCTCCTAATTCTCTTCCAATCATATATGTAAATACTCGTGTCTAGAAGAAAAAAACATTTCATTAGAAGTCAAAGTCAAAATTTGTTAATTTTACTTCAGTTGGATGACATGTCGAAATATTATCTGGCTTCCAATTTCGTTTGTTAAAAACAGGTAAAGCTGTTTCTGTAGCACCATCAGTAACAATCATTATCATTTTATTACATCCTGTACTATCCAAAAATGGTTGTTCATCTTCACCATAACCATGGGCTATAACAAAAAAGAAAAAATAAATAGAAAAAAAAATATTTCATGTTTTTTTTTTAATTAAACCATTAAAATCTGATGGACAAAATGCTTCACGTTGTGCTTCAGTTTGATTATCGGTTGATAAATAATGACATTGACATAATAATCTTGCATTTTCTGTTCGAGATATATTCCTACGTGCACTATCTAATATATCAAATGCCATATCAAGCGCTTTTGAAAAATTTGCTATATCTTTTGTTTTTATACGAGTATTAACTGATACACGAAATTTCTAAAATGAAATAGAAGTTTTTTTTTTTTTTTTTTTTTTTTTTTTTTTTGTGACATTCAAATATGAAAAAAGAACAAATCATCGTTGGTTAGAGTAACTATAATATAACTTTCAGATTGATCAATTGATTAGATAATAATGAAAACTTATTTGCTTTTTTTATTCTTTTGAAATATTAGAATGATATTATAATTGATCTTAATCGTATATATGATGAATTTAGTTTTTTTGTAATATTCTAACTAAGTATTCAATATGTGAGATTTGGAATCATAGTTCGAGTAGAATTTTTTGCATATAAAAATTCAATCGTGTGTTAGAGAGAAGCGTAGCTCTATTGTTTGTTTTAATCAATAAAAATTTCAATTTTCTGACAGATTTTTATGTTTTATACAAATAATTTCTTACATGTCGATTCTCAAATGTTGCTTGAACAAGTCCACCTCGAAAACAATCATCAATAAATTCTGGGTCTTCTTGAAACTACAATAGAAAAAAAGAAAATCATTTGTTTGCTAAAGAAAAACAAAGTTTGATTATTTGCTTTGATTATTTGCACAAAATCATCGTCGGATAAAGTATCCAATATTGTTTCAACGGTTTGTATAGCAATCGATTGTTTTAGTCCCGTCATTGAACCACTTGCATCAATTAAAATAATTACATCACGTGGTGATGATGTTGCTCGAATATACCAATTTTGTACACGACAATCAAATAAATCTAATCGATCTGTATCATCTTCAGGATATTCCCATATATGACCTGGCCATACACGATAAAGACCTGTTTGACTACAAAAATATTGCCACGTTAATTCTGGATCATGATCATAATTATCAAGGAATGCTTGATTTAGATTATACGACCAATTTGCTGTTAATAAAATTTCTCGACCTAAAAAAAAACAATGTAATATTCGAATTGATATACATATTTTTTTTTTTCTTACTTAAAGAATAAATAATTGTCGGAACATGTACTGTACTATGTGTTATATTAACAAAAGCACCACCGAAATGTTTCTTTTGTTGAATAAATAATTCTTTTTCTAATGCTCTACGGAAGAAAATAAAAGGATAACTTGATAGAATTAATTTACAAAAAAAAAGAAATTATATTTACTTGTATTCGCTTTCCGGTTCACTTAATAATTGACTTGAATCACTAGATAATTCTTCATTGATATTCGTAGTTGTTGAATAGGAAGGAGTTCCTGTTAATAATTCATCTAATGTTATCATTGGTGATGAACTACTTTCTAATGTTGTAGATGATGATGATGTTGTTGTTGTGATTGATGATGAATTTTCATTGGTACTATTTATTGTAACATTAAGCACATGTTTTGAACTGAAATATCCATATTTCTAGAAAAAAACAAAAGTTCAGAAAATTTTCAGTATGAAGAAAACAAAAAAAAGATTGATTTGAACTAACAGCCATAAATTTAGCAGTTGCATTTCGAATTGTTTCATCTGTTTCAGCAAACCTTCTATAGGATTGTTCACTTATATTAACTAAATTTCTAATAGCTTCTAATTTTTTCATAATAGCACGATTTGTATAATTTGCCATTTCAAGTACAAGTTCAGTTAAATTACGTTTTTCAATAATAAATGTATTTAATGATTGTAGATAAATTTCACGGATAATTCGATCTATACTAGATAATGTTAATGAAGAAAATTGGTCGTTCAAGTAAATTAATTGATCACGCAAATATTGTTTCGTTTTTGTTGACAATGGAATTGTTCTATAATGGAGAAAAAAAATATGTATATAATACCTTTTTTTTTTTAGTTTCCAAAGAAATTTTATCAACACATACGTCGATGATGGAGTAGACGTAGTTGTGAAGGACACATTAGGGATTTCTCGAAGATTGGATGCTTGAGTGTGTCCATATTTAATATGGATTACTAATAGTAAAACACAAACTTGAACCAATGTCATCGATTGATATTATGCGTCGCTTGGTTATATCAACTCACATATTATTCAATAAGAAAATTTGCGCATGCTTACGATTGTCTTTTTTCTTTTTTTTCTCTGTCTTTTTTCTTTCTGCTAGAAAAGTGTCTATAGAATCTGTTAGAAGAAAAAACTCGGTCATTTTTTTTTGCTTATTCCTCACATTGACGTGCACAAATTGTATGCACGCTGTAATATTCTAGTGCTTTTTCGCTTCCTCGTCAGTTTTTTTCCTCTCAGTAGCTGTTTCCGTCTCGACCAGAGAGAGCTCTTTGTCTCTTTCTTTCTCTTGATATATATTTTTTTTTTATTTTTATTTTATCAATCACGTCTATTCTATCATTGTTATGCCAAAAAAAAAAATGCTTGAAAAAAAAGAACGAAGAAAATTTATTGCTTTTATTATTCTTAACACGATATGATTTGTTTCGATAGATTTTTTATATTAGCACAATAAAATATGTTATCTATCAAAGAAAAAATAAATTAAATAAATATTGTTATTTGTTTGTTTTTCTAGTTTTTGCAACATTTTTCATCGATTTTTTTCATTGGTGTGGGAATATCACTTGCTGGATTTATATCAAAAAATCCATTAGGTTTAAGAGTAAATCCACATGGAGCAACAGGCATAACAGGGAAATCTTCTTGTCGTGGTATATGTGTTACGCCTAATGTATACCACAGAACAATATCGTTATCAACAATTGATCGATCTTGTTCCGTATATTTTAATAAACCGCTATCACCTTGGCTTTGATTTGGATAATTTCCTCCTCCAAATCTTTCTTTTTCATCAAATGGTGTTACCCATACATGATAATCAACGAAACTAGCACGTTTACGCCACCAAGCTTTTTTTGAACTCATTGGCATACAATTTTCACCTGGATATAATTTATAAGCTGTTGGTTGACCAATAGCATTACGAGTAGAATTATTTTCAAATATCCAACAACGAGATTTTTCTAAACATAAATTATTTCTTGCTTGTTTTTCAGTATCAAGTCGTATTTTATTTAAATGAAATGCATTATGAAATTGATTATATTTAGCATCGTCTGGATCAGCTTCAACTTCAACTATATATGCTGTATTGTTTATTCCATCAATAGCTAAATCTAGACGCATACTAAAAAAATGTTGATGATATGGAGCATATAGTTGTGGAGCTATTAATGAACCATATGAAGATTTCTGATCTGGTAGAAGAGCACCTAATGAAAGAACGCCAGTCAGTTTAACTTCAAAGTGAATACTGGCATCTTGATATAAATACCTATTAACAAAAAAAGCCTTTTAGCAGAATTATAACAGAAGTTAAAAATAGAAAAACATCATAGATTGTTTTGCTTTTTTTTTCTTACGATAATTGAATATGTCAAGGCTGACAATATGTTTTTCAGTGAATTATATCTCTTAAAAATAATTAGAATACTTTTAATATTATAAATGTTGATTTTATGATACATTTTGAGTATAAAAATAAGATTTTCAAGTAAATCTTTGAATAAAATAATCGATTGATAGCGAAAATTAATTAGAATACAGATATCTCATCATTTCACATGTGGAGAAAAATATTGAAATGTCTCTTGTTGTCTGTGATGTCTTATTGACATTGTCTTTTTTTTGTCACGCAGCGAAATGTCTATTATCTAGAATTGCCTTTAGCTGTGTTTGACAGAAATTAATTTTCTTATTATATTACTAATTATATTTTATCAGAAAAAATCTAATTACCAAGAGAAACCATATTCATAGTTTTCAATAGTTGCAATACTTGAAATAACCAATCGTCTACTTCGTCGTACCTAAATAAAGAAAAAAAAACAACTCACTTTATCACACTAAAAGAACATAGTTTTGTTTGTAAATTACTTCAGGATTATTTAATCGTCGATCTGTATGTTTCCATAGAATTCCAACATCTTCTTCATGAAGACAAATAGCATTTTTAATAACTAATAATTCTCCTCGACTTGTACACATATTTCCATCAAAATATTTTATATGTCCAAGACAATCACAACCAAGTTCAAGACTATTTGTACAACAACCTACACCATATTCACCACAATCAAATGCATTTTTTCGGGCTTGTTGTTCAGCTGGATCACCATAAGGTACAACCATTTCACTTAATCCAGCTCGATATAAAACTGATCGATTATCATAAGTTAAATGATGAAGAACTAAACCTTCACGCATTGTAAAACCAACAACAAATGACCATTTTTGCCATGATACTTGATTACCATTAACTTGAAAACTTGGACCTTCAGGTTGAATAATATCTAATGGTCGAATATCATCACGAACTTTTTCTACTCGATCAGCTGCATAATTAAAATTCATAGGAGGAATGGGATAATTATTATATACTTCAACACGAATAACTTCCACTATAAAATCGAAAGAAATACTAGTTTAGTTTTTACTTTTTAAATAATTAACTTACTTAAATTAAGATCAACAACTGGTCTTAAACCTTCAATAGGATGTGTATATCCATTATCAGTTGGATCTGATCGTAGAAAACATAGAGGTCTTGCTAAACGACGTGTTCGTTCTTCTTCTTGTCCATAATATCCACTTGACCATATATCAACCATAACTCGATTAACATCATCAATACCATAATGTTTACGTATTAATTCTCGAAATTCAACTGATCGAAGTACAGCTTGTTCACATTCAACTTGTTCATCAACTGTCATTGTTGGTTGAACATTAGGTATATGTTCAAATGAAATAAGATGACCTTCATTTTCAAGTGAAACATGTGCTTCATAACATGAATTTGTACCATTATCAAATAGAATAACATCAGCTTCACGTGAAATTTTTTCATTAGATTTATTAAGTATTTTTTCTTTTGGTGCTTCATGTAAAGTAATAGATACAAAACGTGTTGTTGGTGTGACTTTATCAGATTGTTTTTTTAAAACATTGACAGTACGTTCGACTTCCAGAAGTGATAAAGGTTCTAATGGATGACGAGTTTGAATATTAGTTTTTGTAGTTTTGTCTTGTTCGTTGACCATTTGTTAGTTTTTGACGAGAAGCTGAATATTAAATGATATCTAGCAAGTATTCTACTCCTTTTGTGTTGTCCTTGATTTATCTTTTATACTCTTTCGTTTGAGAGCACTTTCATTTCTTATCATCAAACTCCATGTGTACATATCATAGAAGTGAGAGAAAAAAAGGATGCTATCAAAAAAATAAAACTTAGAACCTAAGGTGAAGATACCTGGCTCACTCCATATGATAGTTACAAACCAATAAAAACATGTTTCTTTATTTTATCATCACCTGACCGTTATTTTTCTTTTGTCTTTTTATCAAAGGTTGTTCCTTGGTCACAGATTACGACCTATGTATGGCTGATAACGATGAAATACGACATATTAACAGAGCCATATATTGAGTCTTCAATACAGGGATTTTGTAATATGGACATATGTATGATAGAATATGGTGTCGTATACGATCAGTAACGCTGGGCATGTTATAACGACATAACATGGTATAAGTAAAATCGTTTACAGTAGATTACGGCGCATAAACGTCTATTTACGGTGATCCGTAACAATTGACCTGAGCAAGGTGTAGGTGTGTGCGAGTTTCCAGGCATGGGGTTCGTACAGGGTGGCTAAAAATGTTTTTCCAGAGGGGTAACACTATAATTTCAAATAGAGTCAATAATGGATTTTAGACCAAATTAAAGCGCGTAGAAAATGGGATTTTTTGATACTAAATTGCAAGAGTTATCAAAACCTTTTGATGTCGAACTTAAGAAATTTTATGCATTTTTGGCATAGAACATTAAGGCGTCATTGATTTAAAAATGGATTCTAGTATTTTCTTTTGATATTTATACATGATTCAATAGAGCTCGTCGAGCTCTACAAAACTGTATATATTAAAAACTTTTTAAGCCAGCTTTCTGATATAAATAAATTAAAAAACCACTTGGAAAATGCTGAAAAATCTTAAAAAACTAGTTTTTGTGTACTCAAAAAGTGAGTACACTCTAGAATCGGTCAGTATGTCCGTCCGTCCGGCCGGCCGGCCGTCCGGCCGTTAACACGATAACTTTTGAAAGGAGAGTCCAATCGCGATGAAATTTTCTGCACAGTTCAGTCTTAACAATGTCTCGGTCGAGTTCGAAGATGAGAATGATTGGCCGAACCATTGCTGAGTTATTGCAAAAATAGTCATTTTTCCCTATGAGAAGATAGACCCTTCTCTGTTTTCATAAAAAACTTTTCCTATCATAGTCAGATAAAACCCCAACTATTATATACCATTCGATAGAGAATTTCACGAGCTACAAAATGGTATATAAAACATGAAGAAACAAGAAAGCTAACTCGCCTATTGCAAAGATAATTAATCGGAATTCGGTTCTGTTTTTGTCCACGCTCTATATGATCCACAATTAGAGTTCTATCTTCCCATCACAGAGATGATAGTTCGAGGTTTTCTAGAATGGAGAACTCGAATCTATGTTCCATTCGCCTCGAAATCCCATTGGTTGAGCAGTGACCAATAGAAATCAAGTTATAGGAAAAACGAGTTTCTTAGGGTAAATCAAGGTGAAGAGTTCAAATCTGAGCTGTATTTGCCTCCAAATCGTATTGGCTGAGCAATAGCCAATAGAAATCAAGTGTTTACAGAAAGGGTTTACCAGGACAATTTTGATGTTCACACATTCTAGGGTGACTCCTCTGTCTGATTCACTTTTTGAAGTACACATAACTCTCGGATTTAAATCCGAGGTTTCCACATTTATTTTCATTTGAAAGAAAAAAGACTCGTTTTTTCAATAAAAATAGTTTTTTTTCTTATTTTCACTAATAGAAACATTTCGAAATGTAATCAACAGATATAGCGTGAAAAACTGCCTCTAGTGATTATATTTCGAAATGTTTGTATTAGTGAAAATAAGGAAAAAAGCTATTTTTATTGAAAAAACGAGTATTTTTTCTTTCAAATGAAAAGAACTAGTTTTTTAAGATTTTTTAGCATTTTCCAAGTGGTTTTTTAGTTTATTTATATCAGAAAGCTGGCTTAAAAAGTTTTTAATATATACAGTTTTGTAGAGCTCGACGAGCTCTATTGAATCATGTAAAAATATCAAAAGAAAATACTAGAATCCATTTTTAAATCAATGACGCCTTAATTTTCTATGCCAAAAATGCATAAAATTTCTTAAGGTCGACATCAAAAGGTTTTGATAACTCTTACAATTTAGTATAAAAAAATCCCATTTTCTACGCGCTTTAATTTGGTCTAGAATCCATTATTGACTCTATTTGAAATTATAGTGTTACCCACCTGGAAAAACATTTTTAGCCACCCTGTACTATCAAGATAAGAGCTGCTCTCATAGTCTTGCCTCAATAACCTGAACTCTGAAGATATATGAGGATGCGTTACACTAAATTCACTAAAAATCCGTCATTTAGCGACATATGAGTACAGTGAATTCATTAAGTGAAAATTCTAATAGTTATGTTGTGAATTTTGATGCCCGAATGATGGATATTATAACATCCTTTATCTCTCTGCTTCCTTGACTTGAGACATCTCTACTCATCTCAGATTAAAACAGAGCGGTATTAGTAATCACTGTTGAAATGTTCATACGTTTGAATCATTATCTTCTTTTATTCGAAAATATCTCAAATAACAATAAGAATAGTCGATTGTTTCTTACTTCAGTCGCGGAATTTTTTCAGCGATTATTTAACTCATGATATGCATAGTTTATGTAATCAGATGATCTACGAAAAGTATTTTCAAAATAAACAAAGGGAGCACAGAAAAATCAGAAAAAAATACATATAAAATAAAAACATCGCATGAATACATTTGCTGTTTAGAAGATGTCCACACAATTTTACGCATTTTTTTCCTTGTATGAAAAACTCTCTGTTCTTCTGTGAGTCTTTTTTTTGACATAAATCTTCATGGTCGAATCAGTGAATTAGAATAAAAAGAAGTCAGAGTCACAAATATTATGAATAGATTTCATTTTAAAAATAGTTTTTCAAATATCTGTATTGATATGTTGTTAAAATTGAAACTGTTTCAATGGCTTTACAAATGAATTGTTTTTGAACTTCCTGGTGTTTGTTAGAAAAATGTTTTAATAATTGTTTTCTCTTTTCTTTTTGTTGAAGCATACATTCGTATTTAATGTATACAATTGATCAATGACCTTTTCTAATTGCCTCTCATGAACATAGGATGGGCGCAACGAGTGGTCGAAAATTTGAAAGATATGTTTTGTGTTCGTTCTGTTACAATTTCCAGCCTCTCGACAACCAACGAAATTGGAGTACTCGAAAACTATATTCTATTGAGTACTTATTTTTGAATCATCGAACATGTTTCGAACCCTTGGCACTTATCAGAGTTTCGAGTATTCAGCGAGAGAGAACCTATCAAAAGAATACTTTTCAGTGTTCGAGTAGAAGCAAACTTATCACAAGAACAGTTTAGACTGCTGAGTCTAATTATAATTAATTATGTAAAACTTTTCCAAAAAGCATTCTTGAAATGCTTTTTACTTTTATTCAACAATCTTAGCAGAATTCAAAGGTTTGAGAATGAAGCAGCGTCGAAATCACCTAACGCCGAGCCTTCGACCTATCAAAAAGTGGTAATTTAAGGGCTCGATATAGAATTTCGATGCTCATTGAAAGTGGAAATCGACGCATCGAAATGCTTATCGAATGACTGGTTGGGTAATATTCACATATATTGCATCTTTATTATTCATCAGTGACAACTAACGAGATTCGATAATATATCGAGGAAGGAATTTTTTTTCGGAAATCCAGCAGGTTTTGGAGGCTTTAGTGCACAAAAAAACCGTTTTTTATAATTAAAATTATTATCTTTTTCTAGTAAAAAACTTGATTTTCGGCACTTAGTTCCTAATAATGCCTTTTTGAATATCAGAAAAGTTTTGCAAAAAATCCTTGTTTTTCCTTGGTAAATGTTAGCAAAAACTAGCCCACAATAGAAGACCATGGATTTTTATTTTGGAGAGAGAATGATATGTTAAGTTTTGTGTCCTTCGTTCGATATCACAACTGTTATGCAAAATATTCGTCAATTAGTGTCAACAAAAAACTTTGATGTGAATACAACAAATGCAAATCTTTATTATGACTATTTAGAAGATTTCGACCTTAATAAAACACGTTCTATATATACGTGTACGTAGTTTAAATTGTTTTGTATCATCCATTGATTATCTTGGATTTACTGCATAGACTGGAGACTGATTACTAACACTCTACCAGAAAGAATTAGTTAAGCATCTTTAGGAATAGTTTATTTAATTTTGTGATACCTTACGTAAACATGCAATTGCAGTTAACAATAAAAAACTTCTTATATTATATAGTTTTGCCAGATATGAAGTTTCATCAGAGTTCAACAAGTAAATTGAAGATAAAGGTATGAATTGAATCTTTTTTAACTATAAATGAAATAAACAAGAAGAAACATAAAGACGAACATTAGAACAATAATTAGCTAAAGAAGCAAAGAAAAATACAATTAAAGAGAATAAGGATAACACATCGATGTTCAATTACTTTTTGTTTTGGGTAATATTATTTATATCTCTTTATTTTATTCTAGAATTCTGATTGAACAAAATTTTTCACACTCAATTACAGCAGAAATTGCTACTGTGAATGGGACGACAGGCATAACTAACGAAAATTTTTAATACACTCACCAGTTTATGAACTTTTATTAATTTTAATTTTCTTCATTATTTATTTTTCTTTCATAAAACTTATACGAAAACGTTCTATTTTCCGGTTTTAGAAAGAACCGTGGAAATATATGAAATACTCATGGGGCTGTATAAAAAGAATTCGAGTATAAATATTCATTATTCAATGTGATTGAATACTATGTAACATATAAATTTAACTATAACAAAAAATATCTTGTAAATTATTTTGACCGATATTAAATAAAACTTTTTGCTTTATCTTGATCGTATATGATGTAAAGAAACAAACGATGTAAAAATATATTCTCTCTAAAGTTTCTTTGATTTCCAACAAGATTCATATTCTAATATTTTGCTGATTCTTATATTCTATGAAAAATGAATTCTTATGATAAGAAGATATTTCAATATTTCCATCTGGCGATTTAAATAGTAGTTTATAATTTGGAAGATAATTAATATAGACTTCTATAGTTATTCTTATAGATAATCTTCAACAAAACGATAAATGAATTCAGTCATACTGTATTTATATTCGAATTAAAATAAATGGCCTATATATTGATATATTTTGAATATTGTGAAACTATGATAAAAAAAACTAGAAGTGTGAGGGAAGAAAATACCAACATCTATAGCCTGTTCAAAGTACACTTCATAGTTATTTTAGAAAAGGTCAGTTTTATGTCATGAAAAAGTTTGTTATTTCAGAAAAATAGAGGATTATTAAAATTAATGAATGATCGAAGAGGAAAACAAAGACCACCTTGTACAATCGAAACGTGATTGCAAGTAAATACTTATCATTTAAAAAAAAAGCAACTGAACACCTCCTAATACTGAGCACTTTTTGTCAGTCCCAATGCCACTCACATTAGATAGGTTCTACTGTAAAAAGACAGTTTTCCTAAAACTAGAAAACTTTAAAAAAAGGTCGCAAAAATTTGGTAGTGAATTATATGATGATATTCTTATTTATATGCTACGATTAAACAAGTTTACTTTCAATATACACACAAATGTAGATAAGAAGAATGTTGAAATTACTTTTCATCAAATGAAGATATTCAGTGTAGTTTTAGCAGAAAAGAATATGGACCAGTTGCTTCATATATTGAAACTTTCACAAGAGAAAATAAGCGTAGATGTCATATCTATTCATTATCATATGAATTCATAAGTAGATGCCACATTTATTCACTTACATATCAATTCAAAAATTTTCATTTTTTAAATAATTCTTTTCAAGGTGGAATATTTGATAATGTTCAATCCCTGATAATGACCGACTTCTGTCATTTTGAACATAACTTTTTCAAAATTATCTCTCAAAGTTTTCCTCTATTGAAAGAGTTGCAAATCATGAATAGAGAACCACAGAAGGACAAGAAACAATCGACATCATTGATCATATTTTCTCATCTTATTTATCTCGATCTTCATGATGCTCATGCAGATAATGCTGAACAATTTCTTGCCGATAAATATTGTCATTTACCTTGTTTATTGAACCTTAATATCGACTATGAATCACTCACTCTGGTCACAAATAATTTTACTAATTATACTACACGCCTCCCTTGTAGTAAATTGATCAGCCTTTGTATAAAGAGGGCGTTTGTACTTCCAAAAACTTTTCATCAGTATTTTCTTTTATTGTAAATATTATTTTTGCTTAAAATTTATGTCAATAAAAGTAAATAGTGCGAGAAGATTGAATATATTTTGATCATACTGATTAGATAAAATAAAATTAATATAACAAGAAAAAAAATGTTTTTCTTTTAATGATTCAACAACAAAGTTTGATTGTTATATACTTATCATTTCAAAAATAATTGTATTCAAAAGAAATGTTTTAGATCACATATTGGTATTGATGTAGTTGTTTTAGTTCTTGTTAATCTTGATATGAATAGATATTTATATTATGTTGTATCTATTTCACTAATTTAAGCATAATATTTTGCAGTAGGCTATGTATTAGGTTTAAATTCTGAATTAAGTTCCATCTTCTTTTCTAGATCCTGATGGGCATAAAAATGCTTTTGATATTTCATATTCATAACTTGTATAAATAAAAAATAAAAAGAAGAATATATATGAAATATCATTGTCAATCTATCAGCAATAAATTGTAGGAAAAAAAATGATCTAGTTTAATTTGTATTTATGAGTTCGATTAGAGCTAAAATAAACAATCCATTGAAGAGACATACATAGTTCTTAGCAATCATTGAATTTTTATTTGTTGTCTATTCTTCATTATAAAATTGTCCTCTTAAGTTTTATAAATAGAACAAATCAACTACTGATATAGATGATTATAGAAGATTTATATAACGATGAGATTATTTATTTTAATGACGTTCAATCCAAAATCATATTTTATTATTCATCAATGAATGATAAAATATTTTTTATGAAGCAAAATTTGTAAAACAAAGATCGAATAGTCATACTGTGAATATATTTTAAAGACGAAAACTAAAAGGCGTTGAAATTAAAATAAATAAGAATGTAATAAAAGATTTAATCAAGAAAATATGAAAGAATATTTCAATAAAAAGAAAAAAAATTTGAAACACTTTAAACAAAAAAATAACATAGTTTTAAACAGTTTCGATTGATAAATAACTTAAAACAAACATAAATTTATTAAGTGAAATGAATTTAATCTGTGTAATGTTTTTATTTAATAAAAATATGTATTTGACAATTGTAGAAGAACCAGTATTTAATGTAGAACATAGTTAAATATCGAAAATATATATTCTTATAAGATTTCAAACCTCAGATTATACATGAATCTTACAGTAAGACCAATGTACGATTTAAACTACCGTCTTATAATAAGATACATATTAAATGTAAAAAAAAACTGATTGTGAGTAAGATCTTCTATGATGTTCATAGGATTCTTCTATCTGGGCGAGGCTAAGATTGATCATTACCGACTGAGACTGTTCATATCGATTCGTCTCTAGATTTGACTAAAATATTAAATTAATTTACTTTAATGATATTTTTCTTTTCGTCTCTCAAAATCTTTTAAGCCGAAATAAATGAAATAATTATATTTAAGAATATTCTTTTTATTTAAAATAAAAAAAAACATAAAATGTTATGTCTCTTTTAAAAATCGTCCAATGTATCTAAAGACACATCGAAAAGTGCCAATGTCGTTCATATTATACATGTATAATTGTAAATTAGGTAAATTACGACCATCATTATCCTAAGAAAAAAACACTTATTAATATATAAATAAATATTTTCTTTTACCTGTTTCATTGTTTCTGATAAACCAAGTGCTGCACGAAGACTTTCTAGGGATGTGGGGTGTGGGTATTACTATCGTCATTAATACCCATATCACCACACCCACACCCTCACAATCCTAACTATTCGAAATTTATTATATTTATTTCTTTATAATAATGTCTTTTATAATAAAAATAAAATCTATGCATTTACGAAAGGTAGTTCAAATACGATGGCATTAACAGAGACATTATCAAATATCTATTTATTTATATGGCAAAAGAAAATATTGAAAGAACTAGATCAAAACAACATTTTTTGAAAGGTAATTTGTCTTATTTTCATATTTCTTTGAAAATTATGAATTGATTTACATATTTAATTTTATTGAATATTCTAGATATAGAGATCAGATCTTTTTCACATGGAATAAGTCTAATGCTTTAGAACTTGAAACAGTTTTACGAACTATTCGAGAAAATCATTCGAATGTGCATTTTCAAAAATTAATTGGAACAAGTGTACAATTTGTAAATACATATATCGAAAATCGACAACGTCAATTATATAGTCGAATTTATCATGATCTTATTATTCAAAGTCATACATTGCCATACGTAGTTGGCCATTCAAAATTAGCTCATAGTGATTGGTTTCTATCAGCTTTAATTCGTGCTGTTTGTTATTGTTCATCAGTCGAAGATTTTAATCAAGAAAGAATTTAACTTGAATTAACTAGTCTTACAAATGGTTATTCATTACTATTTGTTGAAGCTCATGTACAATATTTTTGTAACTATTTTCATACTCATGCTATGTGATATTCCATGAGTCAAGCCATGTATGACAAATTTCGTCATCAATGGTTCAATTTTATTGAACAACAAGATGAACTTTCTGATAAACTTCAACAACTTGTCAATAATGGTCATTTAATTCATTTCAATTATCTCTAAGAATTCGGTCCAAGACGTCAATTTAATCAAGAAATTAATCGTCTTTGGTCCAAATATTTTAAACATCATTCGTTCTTATCAAAAGAAAACGGTACGATTCTATTAACGACTAACCACCTTTATTCATTGAATGCTTTACTGGCTAAACAAAAATCAACTTATTCAATTCAACAAGAAAGACATATGATTATTCATCTTGTTGATACAATAACATTTTGTCTTACAAAAAATACTAAAGAAAAACTCTGCTGCAATACATATATATATATGTAATATCTTTTTCATTTGTATTTAATATAAATAAATGCTATTGTTTGTTCGTTTTTCATCTTTTCTTCTCTTTTGTTTCGTACATACTATTTTATGCAAAAGTCTCAAAGACTATTTTCATTTTCATTTTTTAGATAGACTCTAGTCATTATATTTCTGTTATACTTTACTATCTATTTCCACATTTGAATTAAATTTTGATTAAAGAATCAGTAAACTATCTCGCATATATTCATAATAATCTGTTTCTTTTCTATTTAGAACAACAATGGTTTCTTGTGAAGAAATGAATAGAAATGCTCGAAAACGACAATGAAATATAGATCTAAGCATTTTGCCAATATTTACTCCTCTAAGCCAATATCAAGTATATCATGTCCATCGATCGACATCTAGAACACTAATTATTACAAGAGTTAATCAAATCGGCAAGAAAAACAACAAGATTTACTATTGATACAGAGCATGATTATTATATACATCGACGAACATTGATAATAATTCGATAAAATAATCGTCGAACATATTTTTTTTTTCTGTTCTGTTACTCGCTCACATGGTCCGATAATTGGTGTGTGTTCTTCTTTTTTGTCCTATTGAT